AGGACTTATATTTGTTGTTGCGATTGTTAGTGTTTTATTACTATTGTTGTCATTATTGCTTTCACTGTTATCTGCTTTTATCATAAATCACTTGAGAGAAAAAAACTGAAATGAAAGCAAAAGTTGAATCAAAGTCAGACTTACTTTGTAAGTGGTGCCCAATCGTTGAGCATAACGTTAACACTGAATAATTGCAATAATAATGATGACTCATTGATTATACTCTCGCTAGGAATGCGCTTCTCAAGGATATTAGCACATAGGATGCAGCATCAGCACTAGCAACAATAAATGAAGAGGGGGACAACAACTAGTAGATATGTTGGTGTAATCGAACGTTTAAAAAAGCAACCATTCATCCGTCCATCCGTCCATCCATCCACTGATACGATACGCCGCATGAAGGTGCAGATGAGTATTGTTCGTGAGCAACAATTGTTTGATTTATTATGCAAAAGACATACACGTTGCCGATAGCCTCTTCAAATTTGCTGACACGCCCAAATCATAATCGTGATTTAATGTGATCAGCATTAACGCTCCGAATGAGCTTTTACAGCTATCATAAACTTGAAAAATGTCAAACGGATTGATGCTAAGCTATTAATAAAAAATTGTTCGATTGTTTTTAATCGCCTCTTGTCGTTGTTTCCAAATTCGATTTGCAAGAAGTAAATATGCTCTACGTATCCGTTCCTTCGAGATTTCAGAGAGGCGAGCAAGCAAGCGTAAGCGTTATACGACCACACATGAAGAGTCGATGTGTTCATCCACGCGACTGGCATCATACATATGAAATGATACGATACATATACCAATAATCACTCCGAGTACGTTTTACTTGTGGTTTGGTGTATCCTTCAGTCCGGTGAAGGTAAAGTATAGGTGAGTAAAAGCAAAGTGAGCTTTCAAAAGTTGGAAATAGGGTAAAGTAGGTTCCAAAAATTGCTGTCAACCTCACTCTTAAAATGAAGCGAAATTCCCAGTCTTTTATTTTCTATCATGTTGATCAGCAAGAATTTTTCATTTTACTAATCATCGCTTCTTCAAAATTCTTATGTAAAAACACTTCACCATGATGACTTTTGGATGCAATAATCGGCAAACTTTGAGGAGGTAAATTTTTGTTGAGAATAAATTACATTTTAGTGAACTGAACTGATGTTGAAGCGGAGATAAAATATCGTTTACAAAGTTTCGATGAATTGTGAACACTGGCATATACCTCTATGAATGGACGGCAAAAGAATGGAAAAGTTTCTCACCAATTGAAATTAAACTGATGCTATATGATTTGTGCAAGTAGATAAAGTGATACATGGATGATATATAAGTCATGCGTATTCTTTTAAAAGCTTGCGCATGCACGTACATAGCGTTCAGACAGCGATTAATACTGCATGCACTGGCTGTGGTTAATGAAGTTGACAAAATGAACACATATTGTTTTTACATGCATCAATCGTTATTTACAACTTGTAACTTATTGTTGAAATTCTTTCAGAAAATCTCAGAACTTACCGAAGATCAGCCGCCAGATCATTACAACCGTCATGCATCAGTAATGTTTGCTGGCATCGCGGAAAGCTTCCACTGATCACTTGATCATCATGTGAATATGAGTTCTCATCGTGAACATTGACTGTGGTTGATGACTCTCGTTTCATGCTGTTCTCCATAACAATATTATTGTTATTATTATTATTACTTTTGTTAAAACTTTGTTTAATGAAATAATTCTCGGTGGCTAACATTCCATCTTTACGCCATATTGCATATCTGAAAAAGTTGCAAGATTAGCAATAATGAAACGAGACGACAGTGATAAAAACGAGAATAGTTATCATCTATTACAGAAGTGATTATTGCGTATCGTTACGATTATCCTTACTGAATAAAAATGGTTCTTATCAAGTTCATCAAGCAGTCAATCAAAATTGCGCATTGTCGCTCAACAATACAATGGTACATGACGTTACTTACTGCAGTGGGCTGAACAGCTACCGTGTTTTATTCTGCGATTGTGCGAAAATTTCACGCAACTAACCTATCGTTACTGAAACGGAACATTCTGTTCGAATCAAGAAGTTGTCAGTTCAAGCACGAATATAATTTTTATGTACGGATCCGTGTATATCGATGATCGGCACTAATATTTCAACGATGTACCCCGGAAAGCAACACATTCAATAAACTCAAGTTGGTTGCGGATTCCTTGAGTGATTGTGAGCAAACCACCACCATTCAGTGCTGAATAACAATTTGAATGAAACTAAAACTCAACGATATTAATATTGATGATAATGAAACGATCAGTAACAAGTGATAATGGTTAAATCCAAAAAGGGCATGGACAACATCATTATCTTTGTTTTCAATATTCTACAACCATTTATACTGTTTTTTGAAGAAATTTTGTGATGAATGTGAATCGTTTATGTGGGAATAATGCAATGAATATGAGGGAGTATTCGTTAGTAGGTGATGAAAGGTGACGAGCACAACGCATGTGATGAGAGCAGAATGTTTGAGCGACAACTGAAGAGTTTAGCTGGATTCAGTCAGCACCTGTTGCTTTTGTACTTTGAGAATTGCTGTTGCAGATGGTTGACATATCATAAATAGATTAGTTTATACGTTTAGATCGGATACGACTATCAATATCAAATGAAAGATTGTCGCGTCATTTAGTACCCTCTGATTGCCAAACTGACCTTCATGATAGTAGCATGCTTATTGTTAGCGCAAGGCTCTAATCTGAACTTGAAACTGACAGTAGGTTTAGTTCAACATCGAATTCGATGATGACAAATGGGCAATTATGAGCAAAATCTAGAGAAGTTAATAATAGCCTACCATCGGTGATAATAGTAGTAGTATAACAGCAGCTAATGGATAGCCGAACGGAAGAATAAGAATTAAGAACGTAACTTGACAAAGGCAGTCAAAACTCATACCACTGATGTGCTTTTGATGCTGATCAGACTTAATCTCTCATCTGAAAGAGTAATGAAACATTGTGAGGCGTCAAGTAAGCATGTTGCAGTTTGAAATTGTATCGTCTTATGAGCTGATGGATGGATCTTAGCTGTGACGATATTTGGCCAAACTGATGAGCAGCTAATTAAGAAAATAAGATTATATGAAAATAAGATTATAAGTGCATATGCCTTGTGTTGAATTAGTCGTTTGCATAATTATTCGCGAGTGGGCTTGGCTCAAGATCTTGTTTGCGTTCTTACATAGAATAGAAACAGTTGAACATTGTTCGCTTAATCAGCTTAACCGTTGTGATGATACTAATATCGACTGCATCAGAATAATTCTATTGACATTATCATTTTCATTTGATTTGAGGTTTATTTGCTTTTTACAACGCAACTGGAAGAAAAAAGCCGTTCATTAACACCTTGAAATTGTGACTCGAAAAATTTAATTACAGTTGATCCAAAGTAAGTTGTTAGACACCGAAAATGACATGAGCCAATATTTCACAACAAGAGATCACAAGTGCAATGAAACAATGAAAGAAACAGAAGTAAAAACAACAACAACGACCCCATTTACACTAACACTATCACTTACATTTTATAATTATTAATGATAATATAAACGTTATTGCTGTTATTATGCCTATGATGCTTGATATGATTGAGATAATCTTATGAGTATGTGTACGTTAGGTAAAAGTGTTCTGGACAAAACAACGAACGCATATCACTGACTGTCTTTTAGATGGAGGAAGGCAACCAAATGAAACTAAATGAAGATGGTTGAATGCATGCATAGATGGATGTTTTTTCATATACACTCAACCTTAAATTTGAATTCAATTTTCCGTATTCAAGTGATTATTTGTTTTGATTTGGACATATATGAATCGAATCAAGCTGTTCATCATAAAAATGAATCAAAAATGAATCATCCTAGACCAAAGGGTTGGGTTGACTGACCGTCGCTCACCCATAAAGTAAGATAACAAGAAAGTGTTAGTGCTTATCATCATTATTATCTCAACGAACAATGCATAATGTAATTTCGAGCTGCATTGGCAGCAACAGTGATACATATGAATTTGAATCAAATGATGATCAAATTGCGTGTTGTTCCTTTTGAGTTGTTGTCTTACCCGAAACGATTTCGTCTTTGTACCATGAGACTGCCGAACAATCCGTATAAATATGGATTAATCACTGAGTTGAACACCATAATGCTATGGAGACAATATACCTGAGAGAAAACTGAGCATTAGCGCGGAAGCGAACAAAAAGAGCATTATTGAAGATGTCTAGAAATGTGTTGTTTGTTTCAAAGACTTCAGTTGGCTCCGTAGGGAAAACTGAGAAACATATAGGTGATATAAGAGTACTTTGTTCGCATGTGCTTCAACAAAACCAGCTGGATCGACAAACTGATACAAACTGAGACCATTGTAGGGTAACCAACAGACGATATAAGCAGCAACCAGTAAAAAGCTGACTCGTAACGCACGACTTCTACAATTCAAAGTTGTTGAAAAGAACAAAAAACATAGTCAAAATTAGAATACGAAATTCCATCTCTTCTTATAAAGGAGCATATTTTAAGGCTACTTTCCAGAGCATTCTTCTTTAAATAGCCTGGAAATTGAGTAAGCATAAAATTCAGTTAGAATGGAACAATGAAGATGTGATCAGAATGGGATATCTCGATGCATTACGTTTGGATATAGGTCCAGGCTGAGGCTCACACCAGGGCTGAGGTATTTATCAGCTTTTCTTGTACCACAGTGAGGTCTCTATTGAAAAAAAAGCTGTTTTCTCCGCATAAGCTTCAGCTTAAGTCTAAGCTTAATTGTGATGCTCCGCGATATCCCGTTCTGACTTTCTGAAATACAATTCACCGTGTAATTTTGGTATTATACGATTGACTGTTACCCATGTACGAGCTTGGACCGTAGCCAATTGAAGAAGTTTTTTGATTGAATGCGGATGAAAATGAATTATTGGGATTGGTTGTTGTTAGCCTTAACGCTTGATCGTTTATAAGAATTCGTGGGTTCGCTGAAATCTGTTGAAAGTGATTCACAGACTTAATGAAATTAATTTGGAATTTCTGAGCGAACTTTGAGAAACTTTTTAAGGCTCGAAAAATGAGATAATCACCTGAAAGTTTGAAATTAGACTGAGGGAGAGAGAGGAAAATAGAGCAAACGAGATACTGAACTTACATCCCAATGTTTCACCTGTAGGGAATGATTTCTTTGTACTTTTCAGAATGGATTTCAAAGGTGTTCGCCACTCTGAAAGTGCGTGAATACAACTCTCTGATCATCGATCACTATGCAAGCAAGTTTGCGAGCAAATTGGCAACTTTTTTGGTGGACACAGCACGCACTTTTGTGGTTTATAATGAGTGGCAGTAGAAGCAATTACCTGCTTCGACGGCCGTATGGCACGTCAATGTATACCTCTTACGTATACCTCTTGAAGTTACTGCAGCAGCTGAACCGATCTCAGAAGGTCGAGAGTTCAAGTATACCCAACACGAAACAACGATGTAGGATATCTTAAAATGTAAGTTACCACTTTAATTAATCAGTAATGTTCTTATCCATCTACATACTATAGCAATCATACTTACCATAACAATAGTGGCTGGAACCCAAAAAATGAGCATCATATGTACAATAACGTAAACGTTCTCTTGATCCATCAATTGTCTTGGCAAGACAACACTGCTGTTCACTAAGGATTGTTCGATTCGTATAATTTCCCAAATCTGAACCAACTCCGAAATTGAATGAACTAATTTATCTTTAATAAGTGATTGGTTTCCGACCAGTCAAAGCGGTCGATGATTTTAAAATTTCACACAAGAAAATCTCATAGTACAGGAGATTAGTTTTGTTGAATGCAACACGAAACATTTCATTATCACTCTCCATAACGCATCGTTATTGTGACTTGCTTTCCTAATTCCTCATAGCTTCATAAAGTCGATATACCATACGTATTCCATCTAATTGAGAATAAATTCATTTCATGTTGTTATTGCCACCTCGCCAACAAACCTGCATGCATTGACTCCAGTTGAGCTTTTCGAAAGCCAAAAACGTTTTCCAAACGGCGAATTGTGGCGTGCTAATAAGAAGTGCCGCAAACCATGCAGTTATGAGCATGGCTTTCGTTCGACGTTGAGCCTTCTCTGGTGAACGATGAGTTGGAGAAATAACCGAGAGTAAACGATCGAGTGCGATACAAACGATCACATTTGAAGATATCTGATTGTTGCATATTAAGAATAAGATCAGAGCGAAAACTGAACCTCCGAAATGTTAGGACAAAACTGCTACTATTGTAAAAGCATTTGGTCGATTTCAATTTTTGTAGAAATTATTAAAACGAAACTAATGCATGAAAGCACTGCACGTTAAAAATATCATTGTGTAAGCCTCGACCAGAGTCCTGGATGTGGTTTTGAGCATGAGGCTGATCCTGCACCTTAGCCTAAAGCCTGGGTTTAGGTCCAAGTCTGAATTTAAGCCCAGATATGTTGCTAAGTCTGAGTGTGACCTTAAAATATAAGCTTAGTCCTAAGCCCTAACCAAAGCCTTTGTCTGAAGCTTAAGCATGAGAATAACTTTAATTGACCAGAAACTCAAATCGAACAAATGTTTACTCTTTTCTACAATACCGCCAAAAACTTGTTGAAAACGATCGATAAGTATTCGGCTAGTTCCCTTTCAGGAGGCAAATCCACCGCCCAAAAAGCGTGCGTTCTTCTAGTCGGACTATCGATGAAAACTCATCGAAACCGGACGAGACAGATGAAAAATCGACTGAGGAATCAAAATCCGAAGTCCCATCCTCAATGCACAAAACATATCTCTTCTAGATTGGTTTCATTTCATCTCGATAGCAGCTCATCACAATTTTATTGAAATGAAATTCTGCTCATTAGTCACAAGCAATAGTTACTAAATATATTCACCTGAAATGAGAAGGTATGCAAAAATTTGATGAGTTTACACAAGAAATCGCCGCCTCTCCAATCATAAGTTAACAACCAACACGCTCTTGAGGGTACGTAAACGAAAAGAACTAAAAGATCCGAATAATTCAGATGTCGCTTTAAAATATCTAGGCGAGTTGCTGACGGTCGCTCAGCTATCTGAAATGTTATCAATATTATTATCATCAGTATGCATACTGCACTATTGTATGCCATACTCTTCATTGTTTTGGTAACCTTGAAGAAGGGCAGTTCCTAAGTGGATGGAGTATAAAGTTTCACATAATGAACAGCAGCACTTTCACATGATCAACCAGTAATCACTGTACTGACACATTTTATGCACTAATCATTGTTTACAAGAAAATGATTCGCATCGCAGGGGAATCAACTCAAAACTGAAAGCAGTGGAATTATAGCGCATAAGCTGTGAGCTGTATCAATAAAGTCAGCTCACTGACCATTTTCAACGGAGAGCACCATCACCATTTGACTTTGCATAAACTCAAGACAGAATTCGAGTAGAGACCTCAACTCGAAACCTGTCATTAGTTAGTTCGAAGTGGAAATGTTGACTGTAATGTACAAGTATTACTTACCTGTGTGTAGGCAGCTAAATTTATTGGTCCACCAATAAGAAACAATACAATCAAAGTTCCTAATTCAACATAATCGCTTGCTATCGGCTCTGGAGGTTGATCATCCATAGTGGTCGTTTGAAATGATTCGTTGGAAATGCTAAACACATTTAATGAGAATGAGAACGTTTAATGGAACAGCACTAAGAACAAAAAAAGAGTGCGTCTAGATGAATTAACGCTTTTTTTAATTAGTTGCGTCGATCGAACAAAGCGAGCGTACGAAGCGAAATGATATTGTCGACGTAAAATGATAGCGATAAGCGATAATCAAACTAATAGACTGGCGATAATCACATAATCAGATTAAAGATAGCAAATATATGTAACATTTTGATTAAATGTTCCACTGCGTTGAATATTGTTTATGTGAGATGAGCAGTTATCTTACGAAATTCAAACATTGTTTTCAGATCAAGAGCAAAGTTGGCGTTTAGGAATTATTGAGATGCTATCAACTTGCATTCGTTCATTGTTCAAGATTGTTGACGTGGATTAATGGATGAATAATTTGTTTTCTTTACAGCAGTTTGGTTGGTAGTTTAATTATGTAGAAGTTGTGGATTAAGACATATGTTGAATCTTCGACGGTTGCTTGATAGGAACCGAAACAAAAAATATTCGATTATTTCTTTTTCATCTTTACGGTATTCGTTTTTTTGTTCACGCAACATTTCTGTCTAAATTCATTCTTGGAGACATTTATGATTTTTATTTCAAATTTGTACGAAAGGTTTTGATTCCAGTTTCATTTTCTACGTAAACGTTTGGGTTCTTAAGATTGCAGTTTGTGAGGATTGATGAAGACACGGTCTAAAAGCGTCGCTTTTGATAAAGCGTGAGTTGTTATCATCGATCAACTAAAGTTTAAAACAAAGTGATCGATGCCGTTCCAACAACTGTGAATGACATGTGCACGCTCACTTAATTGTGAAAAGTTCAAGATTACGAAAGTTTATGTAATGTTTCAATTTTATGAGATGCAATATATGTATATGCGTTGTGTATGTCTCTATGTGCCGTTTCATTGATGTGCTTGGATAATATCGAATTAAGCAATGAGAGGATCGCCATACATATATATGTCATTGGCAATAAGATGAACGGACAAAAAAATTCTTTCAATGCAATCATTTTAATAGTATGACTGCTCAATTTCATCCGCATCGTTTCCTTCTCCATAGATTGAATAAAAATGCGCTCAGATGTTTTGAATTCTACGAATTTGCATTAGATGCACTAACTAGGCGTGCGTTTGCAAACTGAAATAGAGCTGTTGAGTTAATTCCATTTCGAAACGAAACCAAAAATTGTGCAAAATATAAACCTCTTTTTGAAAACATCTATCAACTTCTCAATTTATCTACTTACGCAGTCATTCTGATCTTCTTGGGTTCAGTACTGATGAAGTAATGCATTTCACAGGCGCTATAAAATTGAAACAAAATCTAACGATAATAGTGATAAGGACAACGAGGTCCGTGAGAATTATTAAGCAGATAAAGAAAATTTTGTTTCTGATCTTAAAGAAAAATTTGTCCGTGAGAATAAAGAAAAATTTTGTCTGTAAGAATAATAAAAAAAAATTTCCTTGGTTAAGAGATTATGAGAATAAGTTAGCAAAATTGATCGTTGAATCGGTCTCAATCGCACACTTAAAAACAACTGACAGAATGGTTATTTGATGGATCAGTCGTTCTATTTGTGGCACTCTAACGTGACCAATAATTACAAACTAGCACAAAACATCCACACTTTCGTGTCTAGCATAAATTAGCATGTTTGCTTTGCTACAGAATGGCTCATCAGTCATATCCTTATAAAAACATTGAATGCTTACAGATTGAACAAAATCTTTACTTCTTAAAATGATACAAATGTTGTTAAACATATCCTCAACCTAGGTTCATATGCTTCTGTAAGTGACTTTTCCACTGAAAATTCCTTCTCGATAAAATTCTGGCTGCAGTATGAAACAAATGCTAATTGGCTTCGTCTGAGTACAAAATTTGTCTTCTCTTCAGGATAGCATTATCGCGAAAATTCGATGATGTAGTAAGATTTCATTGTATTTATATATCTGTGGACATCTTTGCGTTAAAAGCACCTTTTCGATCAGTTTGAATGGCTAATATGTCAGTGTTATTATCCCGAAACAGTTTCATTGAGAAAGACGTTCATTTGTGCCACTTTTAACAAGAAAATTTTTTGGGGAAATCATCATCGTAAATGCGGTCGATCACATGGCCTGCAGTCATAAGTCATCTGCAGTAATAGTATTATGTTGGTGGCAATAATACCTTGGAAGTTTTATTATTACTTTGGTTAACAGTATCCATATCGTTAGTAATAGGAATCAAAATCAAAATAGTGATGGATAAGTAGCTGATGACGCATGAGTTACGCTTGCAAATTAAGTGCACTTCATGTCATTAAAAGATGTGTTCTTAATTAACAATTCTTAATTTGGTAATGGTTTTGAGAAGTGTAAGACTTGATTCACAGAAACGCGTATCCTGGTTTTAACAGTTGTTCTTTTGACGCTTTTTGCTTTCGTTTCGCGTTGTTTTTCTTCGCTAAATTCATTCACTTAAATCATGAAAAAATCTCAAAATAGATAATATGAACAGCTGGATAGATGAACAGATAAAAAGAAACCAACAGTACGAGCTGCATCGTTGCCTTTTTGCTTGCATACATCACCACACCGATTAAATCATGGTTAATGAATGATTTATAAATGGAATTCAAGAAGAACTTTAATTAGCGGTTTGAAATGTCTCGTTCTACTGATGAATACAACAATGATAGAACATTCGTGACAAATATAAATTTATTTGTCGTTTCTGGTTGTCGCTCAAACTTGTTATGAGGGCCTAATTTGAGTTGATAAGGCGACATTTTCCGTAGAAGTATTTTTTGGAACAAATAAATGAGTGGTAAACAGACAGCGAGGAGGTGGCACTTTCCAATATGTTTGGCACTCAAAGTGAAATGATTATCTAGCCGCTCTGTATTCATCTATTTATTCATGCTCAGTTTTTGCCCCTATCCGCAGAACATATTCGAACCGATGCTTAATTAATCCACAGAATTTAGGTATCATCATCAATCGGGCTGGCATAATGAAAATTTTGATGACCGCAAACATTTAAATTATATTCATTCGAAATTCGAATTGATACATTTCATCATATTCCATTAAGTATCTTTCATCTTTTATAATGAAGAAAGATATTTGGGAAAGCTAAAAATAAATGCTTCAAGAAACGATGGGAAAAAGAGGAAAATTTGATGTGTTTGCTTATGTATGGCTTTAGATATGCTTCCTTAATCTTTCGAAATATTACACCGTTACGGTATGTTATCTCGAAGGGTACATATTTTAGACGCACAGATATCTATGTATTATATGTACATAAACTTACAATTAATTTGTGAACATCTCATTTACGAAAGTGAAAGTTTCCTTGATCTGCACATGCTCGATAATTTTGCTTGCAGCTTTGCTGTGAAAAGAGTGTGAAGAGCCGAAAGGTCACGAATGATGAATACTATCGACTCTTTAAGTTTTCTCGTTTCAATTCGGATTCCATATGGTCTCAGCCATTCCATTTCTGATCATCGAAATATGCGCCTGTGCAACAAAAGTGCCGTAAGAAGCATTCGATTTTAATCAGCTAACTGTAAGCTACGTACCACCGACACAAATCTGCAAGAGATTTGAGTTACATCTGAAGAATTTCGGAACAGTTTTACAGTACGAAAATCAAGGAATGCAAAAAAAAAGAAGCCTTTTGTATCAAATTCATTAAATGTTGCACAATAAAATCGCATGCATAAAGTATCTTTTTTATCTTATACCAAATAATACTGTTGGCGATATAGCAACATCAGTTATGCTTCGAATAATAGCCAGCTGTATCAAGTTTTAATTGAATCCAATATAAGTAGTATACATATGATGTCGATCTAAATAAATGACATCCACCGTGAAGTGTATGCGCTAGGCGTAATGTAAACGCTGATTATGAATTATTTATACCAGCAAATAGCGTTAAATGTATTGCTTTCGAACGGGAGAAACGCCAAGAAGATGAACCTAATCGTTTCGTGCGAAAATGAAACGAAATAAAAAGAATGACAACTGTTGGGATGATAGGTCATCAAAGATTAATTCATACCGGATTTTTACTAGCCACGATAACAAAAGTGTGCACAACTGCGAAAGAACGAATGAATTGTTGATGAATTGCCTTCGAAATGAGTATGCATCTTCACTGCACAAGATATTCATCAACAAAAATCAACTCGATATCGTCACAGTAAATTTTTAACAAATTGCAACCATTCAAGAACACCAAAGTGCAAATGCATACAGTTCAAATCACCATTAGTGCTACATCAATATTTGTATTTGAAACTCATTTATTGTAGATACAACAATTTACACCTTACGCCCTTCATTGTTTTTTAAATTTCAACCACTTTTTTATGATGATTCATGATGTTTACTCGAACTACAGCACCAACAGTAATGACAAAGAAGAGGCTGCATGCATCTGTTGATTTCACTTAATGATTGACTCATTCACTTGGTGTCTCAACTTCACTTAGTCTTCTCAAGAAATCTCACAATCGAAAAATGAATTGAGTTGAGTGTCGGATACAAGAAAAATAAGAAAGTTCAACGAAATGTCGAGTGCAAATGAATAAATCGCCTCGATTGCATCGATGCATGGTGCGAGTAAGATGAGTGTCAATTGAATGAATTATCATTTGTGCATTGTGACACTAATAGGATATATATAGTCACAACCAATATCCGCATGCATTTTCTATGTATCTATCCAATTTTTAACCATGCATCATCAAGTAATCTGCTCAGATGATATTTTACGCTTGATTATTACGTGAATGCAAAGTTCTATCGCGTGCTTGCATAAATTTACCCGATTGATGCTTCATTATTCATCGTTATTACATCATTTTGTGTACGAACAATCTCTAAACCCTTCACAAATTCATGTAGCATTATTCACACCATATTTAGGCTGAGGTTCGCGTTTAGATACGCTCATTAGACTTACAGCATAGCCATATGTACTGCTATATTCGTAAGAGGTCTATAGTTTGCCCGTAATAGGTTACCAATTCGTTGAGATCAAGAACTACAGAGATATGAACAGTTTCACTTTCTAAAAATACCAGAATTTCAAAATTGAGATATTTTGGATTAACTGTTGGCGTTAATACTGGCGCGATTGGCAAGTAATTTGATTGCAGACTAATAGGAATTGCAGGAGATTCTTGGTTCCATTCCCAGGATGATACTATTTAAAACAAAGAAATTGCTTATATTTCTGCGGCCGCTCATTTAATCAGATTTACTTCTGCTTTGCTGGATTTCTCATCGCCCATGCTTGTCCATATTACCAAAAAAATAAGGAAGTGGAAGAAAAAGGATTTTTGGAAAAATTGAAAAATCTCAGTTTCGAAATTCTGGTATTTTTAGAAAGTGAAACTGTTCATATCTCTGCAGTTCTTGATCTCAACGAATTGGTAAAACCGAACAGCACCTGAGACATATGCTGTTAAGATTAAGACATATGTGAAACATATACAGTCGAAGAATAATTAATTTAACGATAAGAATAAGCTGACGTTTACTTGTTATGCTCATTCTTACCGAATAATACTTCGTCTTACTGTAACATCTTCACAGGAGAGGATAAATAAACATATTCAGTTTTGAGAATTTGTCACCTGATGAATTTTGATGGAGATAATGACAGCATAATCATCAAAGTAAAATAAGACTGTCGATAAGTATCCGCGTATTTGAGAACCTATTGACATGCCAGACGCTTGTGTTATGCGTAGGTAGGTTGTTGATCGCATACTAATTGATTTCAGAGAGTTGGTTGCAACCACATCTCTGGTACAAGAGAGAGATTGGATGTTGCCAATGGAGCAGAGGGCGTGCGAGCGATGGACAGCTTCAGTTTTTTGACGGATTTGAAATGACCATGTTCAAAAGGGATTTGGGTTGAGGATTGAGGTTCTTTGGGAGTGTGGTGCGTAAATTTGGGCGTAACACTTGAATGAATTCTCATAACGGATGTGAGTTTGTGGGTTTATAATCTTTGTTCGTGCTCTATCATAGTAACTGATCATTATAATGATAGGTTTGGTTCACAAAAGCATCACTGAGATAGTCTGTGTGATGGTGCTACTGAAAGAATGCTAGTTATTTCCTCATTCCGCAAAAGCTTCAATAATTATTTCGATTACTCCAAAATATTTTTCATCATTACCAGTATTACTCACAAACCATTTTTCAGCTAATAGCTGTATCTTTAAACTTATAAACAATTAAGCAAAAAAAGAAAAGTAAAGAATGAAAATAAGCAGAATGGATGTTGATTCAGATGTGTGCGAATGATTGAAAAGTTGATGCAGTTTTGGTTGGAGCAAGACGGTTTATTGCAGAATAGCGTTACATATTGTTTTGATGGTAAATGATGCGAATAGTATTACAGGATTTGATGTAATACTTGTGCTCGATTACAGTCATTCATGAATAAACTTTTATGCTGAAACAATAAATATAATAATAAGTGTGTTAAACAATCAATATTCAGATTAGAAAATTTATTCATGACGACTAGTATCAATACAAATGAAGAACAAATAAGACACAAGTGTATTTGAGAGAAAAGAGAGAATTAAGATTTGAAAAAGTTATTATGCTGTGAAAGATGCACATAGCAGAATGGAATTTGTCATCTTCAACGAAATTTTTAAAATTCAATCCAATGTTGCCTAAAAAATCGAAATTTATGTATATACAAATATTGATTTGTAACGTTCGGTGACTGAGTAAGCCAACTTCTGTCTTCAAAGAGCTCGAAAGAAACAAGCGTAAGCCTCGGAAAGACTGTTGGCAGTTTCAAATTTGTTATTTTTGCGAAATGAACTGGAAAGTTTCTTGTGATTCGTTGATTTGTTGATGAACTAAGAATCGAGTGTGCATTGAGAGTAATTAATCAAAACACAAATTGAGTGACTGTTCGTTTTGACCCTCAGCATTCTTCACTACGCATTTATATTTGCCCTCATCATCCTTCTGCGGGCCAGTTATCTCGAGTGTATACTGGAAACCTTCTTTGTCCTTATCGTCTTTTTTCACGACCGCCTTGACTCTGTCGGTAAATTTGACTGGCTTATCATCCTGAAAGTTCAAATCTGCATTTGACAATTCCATAGGGAAACAGTAGAATGCGATAGTTATCGATGTAGACAAACCTTGAACCACTCAGCTTTCATTTCCAAATGCGACTTGGCACGCACTTTAATGACGATCACATTTCCACCTTCACGCTGAACTATATGCGGCTTATCGTGAAATTCGGGAGCATCTAAAATGAGCTAAGAAATGAGCAATTTACAATCGTAAAATAACAAACCCCACTAAGTTCAAATAAATTTCGATACATACTTCCCGCTTGTACAGTGAAAGTTGCACTATTTTCACCATCCGCACTGTAGAATTTGGCCTTATATTCTCCGGCTAAAGGCTTATCGAATTTCTGCAATGAATACTTCAAATCATTCATTCCTGATCACTGAAAAACAATGAAACTTATGTGATTAGCATTGTGCAAAAACGGAGACATTATTATTTCAACTGAGTCAAATTCAGAGTGATGATGAGCCAGGCGTTGCCTCAGCCATCACTGATATTGAGCCGACCAAGTGCCATCTTCTCATTATTCGATAGCATTGAGAGGAGTAGTTGAATTGATGAAAAGGGGTCTGGAGGGGACACAAGAGGGTTTGGCAATGACTTGACAATTTAAGTGCATTAAAATAATGGTGCTAGTCATTAGTTTGCGATCGAACATAATGAAGTGCACTGACCACTATTTCACATCTCAGTTTTGTTCGTTTACCACCCTCGTCACTCGATGAGAATTTATATGTTTCAGTTGCTTCCAGTTCACGATCACCCAAGAACCACTTCGTTTTGGCCGCATCCGCACCTTCGAAGGAAAGTCAATCAGTTTATCTCTTGTTTTGCTTACAAAATTACCGATGAATTATCAGCATAATACAAATGAGTGGCAAAAGAAATTTTAGCATCGTTCCAAGAAAAAAACGGAAGATCAAACGATCCATTAAAGTCGATCTGATGACTGGAAGTGAAATTTTTTGCATATATAGCGATAACGTCAAATCTGATGAAGCTAATCACAGAAAAGATTTTACCCGTTACAATAACGTCCAAATAAACACTGCCCGATTTTTCATCGTGTGTGATTTTTGGTTCTCCATATATTGTTGGCGGTGCCATTTTTTCTCTCGTTCAGTCAAATAACACCTGCTGAAAAACACAAGAAAACTATTTTAAATCATCGTGAATTGTGCTTGAACAACCGGGTGATTAGTCTTCATACTTGCGTTTCACAATTAGATGATGCTCGTTATTGAAAGACACACGAGTGACGGGAAGATCCATTCGGATTGCAATAATAAGTGATAGCGAATTTTTGAAAAACGGCGCAGTTCACGACGCAAGCGAATACTTTTCAGCTGCTCATCATGCTCATTGCTCATGAGCTTACTCAAAGTGTGCCCGCTTATCTTTCCAATAAAAATGCATCTGCGACTGCTTATGCTCGTATTTTGCTCATGTGTTCGTGAATCTTTCGTTACTGACAGTGATTTTCACTATTTATACACGGCAAATTCGAATGTTATCAATATTATAAAACCTGTAAGTGAATAGAATTTTAATGTGGTGCAAATTAATTTTGATTTTTTTCGTAATGTAAGGTGATTTTTGTGAATGTTCGGTGAAGTAATGAAGTAAGAACAAATGAATACTGAATGAACAGTTCACGAAAGAAAAATGCAATGAAAATCGGATCACGATTCGTTTCAGTCATTTTTCATACATTTAATTTCACATGAATTATTGCATTATGTTGTCTTGAAGCAGACCGAGTGATTTATTTCTGGGATAGATTAATGTTTTCTTAATGTTGCTTGTTGATTTTGTGGCAAGATAAAATGAGCGCGTCTACGCAAGGCCTCATTGAGGATTACTTGCAAAAGCAATAAATAATTGGATGATATAAGAGAATAAATAAACAGATATATTTTCAAACAATGCTTCATAAGATTAAAAGAAATACATAAAATGCAACATGGTTTGCTCTCGTAAGGTATCGTTAGGTTCTTAAGATGAAGTTAAAACGAAGAACGCACGAATTGAAAAGAGAAGTATCACCGAACGAATGCAAAACAAAGCAGATAAACATTCACTGGATGGATGAATCTAAGCGGTATGAATGAATGATCAGCAGAGGTAATCTATCGACAAGGCGAATGAATCAGTGAGTGTTCCTTTAGCTGCTCTGATGAAGTGCCATTGTGCATGCTGCTTGGCTTTGCACTGAAAAGCTACCGAATGCTCAAAAATATCCAAGAAGTGTTCGATAAATGTCTGCTACTGCCTCACTGAAGAACATTTAAAAAAATGATGAAAATGTTAATTTTTAAATTTGGAATAAACTCGAAAAGTTTTATGAACACAGTAACACGCTAATTCAAACTCATACACTGAAAAAAGAATGGTGCAGCTTATTCAACAATTCGGCAAAGTGTTGAATGTGGAAGAAGCCGAGAATTTGATGAGGGTTTCGAATGAATAGGAACGCTGGAGGTGAAGCAGTTGATAACTGTAGAATGTAACGAATAAGCAACTCGGTGTAATGTCCGATCTATAAGCGTTTGAACAGGTTTAAAGCTTGCTCGTTTAAAAGCTAGCTTTTATGAGTGAGCAATCCTCTCAACTGGGTATTGGGTTGGCGTTTCTGCGGAACGATTATCATGTTGTTTATATATGCTTGTTTTTCATCATCATTTGTTTTGCTGTGTTTATAAAACGTTGAACAATCACTCAACACTAACTCAGCAAGAATGTCTCAGGACTGAAGTGAACGAAGGCGGTTTCTGTTGTCTTGAAGGTGATAAACAGTCGTCAATCAAACAATAGTGATTTTATCGTTCATAAGAAATCGATCAGATAAGTAGAATTGAGGGACGTAATCGGTGCAAAACTGCCGAACAATCAGCTAGCTTTATCGAGAAAAAAATAACACCAGCAAAATAAACACAAAAGAGGATGGATGATGCACTACGTAACTAAGGATATCCAGAGAAGGCAGTTGAGATCAATGCAGTTGTATTAATCGACGGGTATCCAGGGACATACATTCCAGAACTATGTAACCAAGGGCACTTGATCAGGCGTGTCTATTCCACATTCACGCTACTGGGTGCATATCGTCTCATCAACACATTTATGCAAACGCCTCGTATCAACCATCTGCACAACGCACCAACAGTTGCTGAACTTTATTTGTTGCTACTAATACTTTCGATTGATTTTCTGAATTCAATAACTAGCCGACATTTACAAACAATTACTGATCCCAGCAACTGCGGTACTATCCAGGGATAAGTCCATTGATCGCATATGCGGTGATAATTTCAATTATAATGGAAATATTGATAATAGTAAAGCCATTTCATTATGTGCCACCAAAGATATATTATATTTAATAATAGTAGAAAAGGATGGCGATAATGCGTTAGAATCGTTTCAAAGGTTTCAATGATAATGCTTGAAGCAATATGAGAGTATGTAGGTGGAACATTAAGAACGCACTACAGCCATTGTAGTGAATAAGCGGATTTGTTGCGATGAGAGGGAGGAAGATAAGAAGAAAACAAAACGTGCTGATCGAAATGTAAGACAAAGCAATTCACTCAATTTCATCGTATATCAGTAAGGACTCTTAATCATATAAATGAATAGGATGGTTATATATTCTGTCGTTTTACTATTGCTGTCATCGTCTTTACTACAGCACATACACACACACACACACCTAACATAACTTATTGAAATGATTTCTAGAGCATGAGGGATCAAGAGCCTGTGGCTCAAGAGATGTGTATATGAACGACGTATCAGCATCATCATCATCATTAGAAAAAAAAAGAAGAGCATAGACTAGCTAAGCAAATAGAAGCAAGCCTTTATTGGAGCTTTAGCGATCGATGGGTATTAGATGCAGCCGAACAACACCGCCAGGAGGGCACAACAAAGATTAGTTTCGTTCATATCTGATAAACTGAGCATGTGCTGAGCTGGACATTGCTTGTGAATTTGGTTGTATACACAAATACGTTGCTTGTATGCACAAAAACGCTTCACTTAGTGAAACACTTCTCTGAACGACAAACTTTCTGATCTACATGCTCCTTGCACTTAAGTCTTTACATTCCACTTTCGGCAGGTTGGTCCAGGGTTCATACTCAAGCTTGGACGCTTAGCTCAGCTTCAAATCAGCTGACAGGATTGCTGGCCGGCAGGTGAATGAATGAAGAGTTACTCGAATCATAGAAAACATTTGTTTCGAAGTATTGTTTTCTCCTGGAAATGCTACCACACTTAAATAACAGCTGCGACTGATCAATGGAACAGACGAAGATTGTTATGTGAATGAACACCGAGCGATTCCGTTGTTTATGTAGGTAGAGCTGAATATTTCAGTGTGAATCTCAAGCTGAGGATGAGCTTTAGATTAGCTAAAAAGTTTGCTGAGCTTTTGATTGGAGCACTTCACTCTAAAAATAAACTGCGGTGCGTAGGTGACATTCATTGGCCTACTGCGGCAGTACATCAACTGAGGCTTTGTTTAAAAGATAACAGTAATTCATTTTTACATGTTGTTGGGAGCATTTTGAAACGGTGAAATGGTGACCGAGTGGGCGATCAAATACTTTCTCGTTTATTTTCATTATTGTTTTCATACATGTGAATTAATAAATCATATAAAAGTATTCATTACCAAGCAGAATTACCACATAACAGGGTCACACAGCAAGTTGACATCCAGAAATGTGAAGTAAACAAAGTATTACATGAGTAAAGGAGATCACTTAGCAGTGTTGATTCGCGCTCTCTATATGTTTTTACGCATGACCATTCTTCGATGTTTCATGAATGTAAAATACACATCTAGTTCGGATATGATGCGAGTGGGCCGATAGATTCAACGTCAAGAATAAAGTTGATTTTCTGCGCAGCACTCTGAAAACGATCTTTTTAAACTCTCTCTGCTAACCTTTGAATATCTGACCAGTTCTTTAACAATTTAACATCGTCTAAACCTGTAAAACCCATAGGGATGGGGAATTTGAGCATGTCAAGAGGGAAATGACGAGCTCAGTAAATCATTATTGACTGATTCATTAGAAATTGATTCTTCCATAGTTTCACAACAATGTTTTCAAAATGTGTGTTCGGTCACAACCAACAAAGAATTCTCGACGGCAAGCTCTTTGTCCTTTGAGTATCAAAAGATCAGATTCACTTGCATATGGAACGTTCGCTTTCTTATCAAAAGTCCTCGACATTGAATGCGCTTTTGCTCAGTTCGTTATGCCATCATTAAATGCATCTTATCAACAACTAATAGTTTAACGCTTATCATTGACAGTTCTACAACTCTACAAATGAGTGTGCAAATAAATCAATGAACGCTTATCGAATACAATACTATAAATTAACTATCTTATATGTAATCAAGTGATACGAATGATATAGTTAGCAGTCATCATTTGCATGTCAAACATATCGCCGACAAAATGAACAGTTATTTCATTATTTTATTATTTTATGTCGCTTTCGAGCAAATTATTCTCGCAGCTGCTCAAACAAATTTGATCTATTGCTTTCCAGATCAGGTATGTCTTTCAACATGATGCTTTTCAAGTCATGTTTATTGCTAGCTTTTGCCACTGACTCTTTAAGGTAGTATCTTTTATACATATTGCAGTCTATCGACTTACCTCTACCTGATGACAATATAATTTGCGTAGCTTCGTTGAATTTCCCAAATGGACTACCGGATGTTGGTGATGCAACGTAAGTGATTATGATATTGTATAAAGGCAGTTTCATTCTTGTAAGAAATGCCAAAACTTCGGAAACTTGCAAATCTGAATGCCTCTAGCCTAAATGGGAAGCAAGTCTGTGAATGGAGAACAAGGTGAGGCTACGGTTGAGTTGAATTCAGAATCTTATTATGCAGATGCACTGTCAACATTCAACCGATGCCTGGATTCGGCGTTCGTTTACTCTTCGAAGAATTCTTCATTGGTCGTGAAGATTCGTTGACAATCCAAACGGCTACTGACGAGCAGTCCATGTGGGATTCAATTTTGATAATAATGATAGTGATGATGATTAATATGACGGCGATAACAGTGATTATAGTGACAATAATGATAATAGTGATAGTGATTATAATAAAATAGTAATTGAAGTTTTCAGTCGACATGGTAGTGATACTGATCCAGAACGAGGCACTGTTGCATTTTCTCTGTCTCCGGGACCGATGAGTTTGACATTCCAGCAAACTAAACCTGATGTGTTTATGGCTGATGTGAAGCATACAGGCTTTAAAGCGATCTTGAAACCCTACAGTAAGTATTCCAATTGTTCCATCATCATCATTCTTATTGTTCTCATCATGACATAATTTTCAGATATGTCTGCTGATGAGAAAACCTTATGTGGTGGGAAACGCCTCATAAAAGATACATACTTTGAAACGTCGTTTGCTTACCCGGAGGATTACGGTGAGGGTAACAATTGCAGATGGGAATTCGAGGGGGTGAACGCAAATCTGCGGATACTTTTTTATGATTTCCAAACGGATGACAAAACGGACTCATTTGTAATGAGTGGTGACCCATTTGTAATGAGTGGTGGAAGTTCAACGAATGAAACGCATAACACAACAATTCATCTTGGGTAATTCATTTTGAAAAACTATTGAAGCATAAAATTCAACTAAACTGGGACTACAAAGAAATTTCCCTTGGCAAAATATGGATTGTTTAAAATAATACAACAGACGCTAAATATTGGATTTTAGTGGATATGATGTAACAAGCGATTTACCGGTAGCGTTCTATTTCCGTGGATCAGTGCATATCAACTTTACCAGTGGTGATGGATCAATATTTCCACCGAGACGTTTCTCGTTTATCATTGACACATTCGCAGACCAAAGTACCTATTTTTTATGAGTTCTGCTGAAATATCTCCAACTGTTCTACGAAAAGACTTAATGATAAATGAAAATGAAAGCAGTCCTAAAATTGTGTGCAAACCAAAGGACCGAATCTTGCCGATGAACCTATTTTAAAGCTTTTGGCCTTCTAATGAACGAGTTGAGGAGTAAGACAAATGATTTCAGCAAACGATACGCAGGAAGTATGTGTTGGTGCGGAAAGCATCCACGATTTATCGGTTGAAAAATCGGTAATGATCAATACAAATAACTACGGCACATTGGCTTATGAAAACTACTTGAAATGTCAATTTAGGTTCGTTTCTGCATACATACTTATATTATGCTGATAATATAAGTGATTTTTGGTAGCGATAACGAATGGTAATAATAACGGTACTTACTGATGACAATAAAAATGGTAAAGTATTGATGCAATTCAGTTTCATCAATCCACCACAACACCATGTGATCTATCTGCAAATGGCATTTGAGTCAGAAAGATGCTGTGATTTAATGACAGTGAATGGAATTGGTCAGGTATGAAGAAAATAGCCTAGTCTTTATCATAGCAATAGTTTCTTTCTGATGAATGTTTCTTATTCAGGATTACATCTTCCAAGGAGAACGCTATCCGACGATATATTTTGCCAATAGTCCGAATGTTTCATTCGAATTCTCGAGTGATGGTGTTCGAAAAGCTGTTGGTTTTAAAGGATATGTTTCTACATTAGGTATGTGCATTTGGGCTGTGTCACTTCAAATAGATCTTAGCAAAAATAATCATTTTATTTGAGTCAGTTTGACGAAAGCTGCAACAAAGTGTTCGCTAAGAGTTGTAAAATTCGCGAAAATGCGGAAGAATGTCCTCATGAGATAATTTCATGCCTCTGAATTTCAGTGTGCGCTAAACTCGCTCTTCTGCTCTTCACTCATAAACTATCATGAAAATTTCTCAGAAATTTGTTTTCGAGTCATCAGTAGACTCAAATCTCATCAGAAAACACACGATTTTTGGACTGCATCTGAGAGAACAGAGTCTGGCTAGGGTTTGCAAAATCCCGACGTTTTTTCAATCCCGGGATCGGGATTTGATCCCGAGATCGATTTTTGATCCCGGGGTAACCCCGGAATCGAACAATTTTTGTAATATCGATGCGGGACATGTTCAAACACATCTTTTCGAACCAATATGTTCATTATTAATCAGAAAGGAGTTAATTCAACAAATTATTGAACAAGTTCGAGGAACCAAATTATTCAAGTTCAAATTAATATTTCATATAATGATGCTAATGGTCATGCCGCAAGGCATACTGCATTTTCTATGCTAAGGCGTCTTGTCGTCTCGGGTCTAAGCTAATAACGGTACACTTGCATGTGAATATGAAATTCTTGATTCTCAAACACTTATTTGCAGTGCTTCAAGTCCATTTTTTCGCAGTATTAACGTCAAGTGAATTCTGCCATTTCGGAAATTTCGATGTTTTACGAAAGAAATGCATCGCATGAATTATATCATTCGAATTTTGAAAAA